AAAATTACAGCGCGACCTTTTTCCTTAAAATTGAATTCCTTTTCAATTACAATGGTTGGGTTTTACTTTTTAGTTTCCATTCGGTGAAAAAATCCTCGCACAGGGTAGTAAAATTAATTCGTTATATTCCGGAAATACAAAAAAGGAGCAACATATTCCTTGCCGCAAAGTATTGTACTATGTGTTAAGCTCTCTAATACGATTAGGCGCCAGCTTGTCGCAGTGATGTAATAGGAAGTTATTTTTGATTTACGGCTTTCACGAAATAACATTGTTCGTACAAATACAAAAGTATTTGCATAAAAATAAATTCGATTAAGTTGCGAAAAAGTTATGAAAGTATTTTAATTTCTTTCCAGTAACAACATGTATTTTAATGTAAAAATTATAACAGGTTAGAAAAAGACATTCTATATTTTATAACAAAGAATTATTGGAAATATGTGACATAAGTAATAGACCGATCAAAATAATTCATTTAGAGGGTAAAACAAAAAAAAATGTTACCTGGACTTTTATAAGTGGAAATGATAAAGGGGCTTATAATAAACGAAAACAAAATAAATAAGTGCGTGAGCAGGGGCTGCGGAGGATTGATTTGGGGGGTGGAAAACTTATGAAAAATTGTATCATTGGGATTTCTGGCGAAAGTTGACGTCAGACAAAAAAGTATCCAATATAAAAGTCGTAGATCAAAAATCTACAACTTTTGTAGAAGTCATTTTTTAACATAACCTCAAACTTTCCGAGAAAAATGCGAAAAACAGGATTTTTTCTGATTTTTCGTTTTTTATCTCTCATTTCCGCAAAAATAATTTAATTTTGACGAAACTTGGTGAAAGTATACCTTTCTCTGTCTTAAATAACCTCAAATTTTTTTAGATAAAAAAATCAAGAAGTTTCTGAGATATTCATTTTTTTCGGCCTGAAACACTTTTTTTTCAAAGAAAAATTCTACTTAAAAAAATCATCGTACAGAGTTCTGCCGGTAATCATTTTTTTCGTTTTGACATATACTTTTTGGTGAAATAAAAAAATTTGTAATCACAGGTCAAAAACATGCTCAAAAATACAAAAATGTAAAAAATGACTTGCAGCAATGAATTTTTCAGTAATTGTGGATAATTAGTTTAAATTAAAAAAAAATCAAAAACTGATTACACCATTCAATTGTACGGAAAAAATACAAAAAAAAACTGTCTCAGTGTTTGACTCAAAACTATTTTTGTACAGTATTGCTATAAACATAAGTCGAATAGTGAATAAATAAAATAAATAATTTTTTTTTTCCGTAGGATCAATTAGTGTACTTATTTTTTTTTAAAGTTTGATGAATTCATAGATATACAGTGTATCCAAGATAAGGATGGGATAGGCATTAGGATCTAGGAAACGGTAAGAGATACGGGGTGGCTCATAATAGAAAAAAGTTGTGTTTTTTTATACCTAACAGTATGCTGTTTAGAAATTTTTAAAATTCCGGGTAGTTCCGGAGATATCCGGAAAAACCCGAAATTTTACAAAATTGTTTAATTTTTTCTGGCTTTATTTGAAAACGAATTTTAAAATAAATTACATATTTACAATGCCACTTTTTGCGCTCTATACAATGGCGTTAACATTTTTGCAATCCGACGTTTCGTCTTCGAGGGGCCATCATCGGGTTAATTTCTTTAAATACGTCGCTACTATTTTTATGAAAAAATCTAGTCATTTTTAATTCTGAATTAGAGGATATTACATTGTAATCGCTTAAAAAGTTTTTAGCTTGATTTAGCTATAATTTAATTTTCTTCCTGAGTACGGCTCTGAACGCTTTCAAATATCTATTGGATGAAGTTATAACAGTATAAATTTTTTACTACTATTAGCAATACTAATTAGAAATAATAAAATATTTCATAAATTCGTATTATTTTTTTTATAAGGTACAACTTTTTAAATTATGGATTAAAAAAAATTGTTGGATATTTTGTGCTGTATTGACTTTTATTCTCTCCTATCTCTCTCTCTCTCTCAGAACCGTACTCAGAAAAAAAATTTAATGATAGCTAAAAACCTTTTTATTACAATAGTAACATCATCTAATACAGAATTAAAAATGACTAGATTTTGTCATAAAAATAGCAGCGATATATTTAAAAAAATTAATCTGATGATGGACCTTCGAAGACGAAACGTCGGATTGCAAAAATGTTGATGCCATTCATTGGATAGAGCGAAAAAAGTGGCAATGAAAATATGTAATTTATTTAAAATTCATTTTCAAATAAAACCAGAAAAGAAATAAAATGATTTTGCAATATTTCGGGTTTTCGGATTTCGCGTCAACAGTAGACTCTGCTGTTAATACTTTGTATTGCTGAAATCTCAAATCGTCCAGAGATAATTTATCATTTGTGCATTTGTAATTCGACTTAGATGTTTATAGCAATACTGTACAAAAATAAAGTTTTGGGTCAAACAATGAGACAGTTTTTTGTCTCATCGTCTCAAAAAAATTTTTTTAGTCTTATTTTTTACCGTACAATTGAATGGTGTAATCAGTTTTTGATTTTTTTTATTTAAACAAATTATCAACAATTACTGAAAAATTCATTGCTGCAAGTCATTTTTTACATTTTTGCATTTTTGAGCATGTTTTTGAACTGTGATTACAAATTATTTTATTTCAGCAAAAAGTATATGTCAAAACGAAAAAAATGATTGCCGGCAGAACTCTGTACAATGATTTTTTTAAGTAGAATTTTTCTTAAAGAAAGGTGTTTCAGGTCGAAAAAAATGAATATCTCAGAAACTTCTTGATTTTTTTATCTAAAAAAAATTGAGGTTATTTAAGACAGAGAAAGGCATACTTTCACCAAGTTTCGTCAAAATTAAATTATTTTTGCGGAAAGGAGATATAAAATACGAAAAATCAGAAAAAAACCTGTTTTTCGCATTTTCTCGGAAATTTTGAGGTTGTTAAAAAAATGACCTACAAAAGTTGTAGATTTTTGCATGATCTACAACTATTGTATTGGGTACTTTTTTGTTTGAAGTCAACTTTCGCCAGAAATCCCAATGATACAATTTTTCATAACTTTTCAACCCCCTCCGCCACCCCTGCTCTCGCATTTATTTTTTTTAGGTTTATTATAAGCCTTTTTACACTTATAAAAGTCCAGGTAACGAATTTTTTTTCTCCAAGTGTAATTTGGTTGGACTATAATTATGAAATGATATTTAAAAAATTCTGGACCAAAACTAAATATACAGGATGGTTTATGAACTTCCGCTAAAATTTATTTAGTCTATAACTTTCAAATCGATCAAATTAATTTACATTTGTATACATTCCAAAACTCCAGGATTGTATCGGGAAAATTCCCATTCCTCTGTGGTCAGTCAGAAAAGTGCACCCTGTATATTCTCTCTACTGTTTCATGTAGCATACTGGCAAGGACATTAACCAGTGAAACACCTACAATTGTGTTCGTGCAGATGCCATATTGAGTATTATTAAGAGTATTTGACAGAGGACTAGACATATACAGAACCAAAGAGCACTTTAGGAGACATCTTGAAATAATTCTCTTCTAATATTAATAAAATTTGTTTATAGATACTAACTGTTTGTTTTCAGTTGTATTTGGTTTTCCACTTTCTCATTATTGTGGATAGAAAGTTTTGGATAGCAGGATTTATTTTATAAAGTCTCAAAGCATGTCATCGATGAGATACTATATTGAACGCTTTCTTGTCCAACATGTAGATTTTGTTGGCGATTTTCAACAGGTTTTTTTAAGCAATTAGAAAATACAGTAGAAAAAACAATAAACACTAGGAAATACATAGAAAATACAACAATATATGACAAACAATAAAACATATTAAAACAAAGTTATCCTAAAAATATTTATTTTTTAATACTGGGTAATGTCGTAAGCAAAATATCAAAGTTGTCTTGCAAATTAGCAAAATTACGACACATTACATATAAAGGAGAATCGTGCAATACATTAGTTCTAGCCGTTCTCAAATAAAAAGTCTCAGTAGAGCGAGAGGTAGCTCTAGAGACATTGAAATTAAGTTTAAAATTAAGTAATTCTGAGCAATCAATATTAGCACAAACCAAATTAAAAATGAAAATAACACTATGCATATTACGCTGAATCGTTAAAGATTTGTAACCGTACTTTACTAGAAGTAAGTGCTGCGAATAACCGATAGGTGGATATGTTTTAGTTTCTTTATAATGTAAAAATTTTAAAAACCTTCGTTGCGTTTTCTCCAAAAGATTGATGTGGTTTGCATAATTAGGGGCCCAAATAATAGAACAATACTCCAGCCTTGATCTGACGAAACAGATTTACAACAACTTTATGGTGTCAACATTAGAGAATTCACGAGAAATACGAATTACAAAACCTTAACTTTTGTTAACTTCAGAAATTATTCTATTTATGTGAAAAGCGAAGTTCAACTCTTGATCAAAATAAACCCCTAAATCCTTAATAAAATTGGGTTTATCAAGAAGGACGTTATTTATCGTGTATTGATGATTAAAATTAAACTTTTTGCGAGAAAAAGTGAAGGTTTTGCATTTGCCAATATTCAGTGGCAGCCCGTTAGATTCATACCAAAGGTTAAGTCTGTCAAGATTTTCCTGTAGATTAACGCAGTCCTGAACTTTATCCTTACATAGATTTTTATATTTGTTCTTCAGTTACTATGTAATTGTTAATACTGCAAGTATTTTGATGAATAGTCGAAAATTAAATAAAAAAAGGAACTTTCTAACTGCCAATGAAATCAGGGACGAGGTAGAAGAATAATTTATTTAAAAGTAAAGTTTTGAAAAGTAGGGTAATTACGAATATTGATATACAAATCGATATTTCTATTATACATATAAGATCAATACCAAAATATCTGAAATATAAGAGAAAACGTTTTGAATGAAGCCATTATTATTACAGTAATGACACAAATTAACGCAACCCAGTAAATTACCTTACCTTGGAATGTTGAGAAAGACGATAGCGTGCACTCTAAGCTCCTTCAATTTATTGGTAATATTCTGGCCATCACACTCTAACGTTACGAAATCGGCCAGATCCTTCCATTTCCTTTTGAGCAAATCTTTACCTCCCATTTGTCCGTAAAACATTTTGTTCTTTAACCTCGAATTAAACTTTTCCGGATGAGCCTCTGAAAAAGAAATGTTTTGTTTTTATACGGAAGCGATTGAGAGCTTCGTTCTGCTGGATATCCTTACAATAGATCTTAATCAAACCATATTAGACTTCATTGCTGATTATTCATAATGGGAATGGTTTTATGAAGAGCTAATACAGGAGATGCGATTGAAAAAGTATGCGTCCCATTTTTTTTTTTAAATTTAATTTTACTATTTATACATTTGATACGTTTTTATAATGCAGATCCATTTTTTTATACCAACTTTTTTTTTGGAAATTGTTAGTGCCGGAAGAATTTTAAGCCTATTAATAACATGCCATGGAAGAAAAATGAAATCTAATTGGTTTCGGCTTTAGAAAAATCTTGTTTTTTTTATCAACGGATTTTTTTTTAATTAGAAATTAATAGAACAATGCTTACAAAATAAATTCGAATCAATGTAATAGAAGTAAAGAGGTGAATTCATTTTAAGGAAATACTGAGTTTTATATGTATAATGTTTCAAGCGTTTAAACAATATTTACTTAATTTTCAATAAAAAATTATATGCATAACATATAGGATTTACTTAAATTTGTAAGTAAATACTTATTAAGTATTAAGTCAGTGTAACTCTTTTTTTACAGTACCTAAATAAAACATGTTATTTCAAAATCTCTACCAAGCTAACTCAAAATTCACGCAAGAAGTAATTTTGATAGAAAACGCAAGTTTTTAACTCAAATTGTAATTTTTTTATTTATTTATAATATATCGGGTAAATGACTTCCATCGCTTTGCTGGCACATACGCACTATTTAGACAAAATTTTCCATGAACGTTTTGCATCAATGATGCTGAATTTCGTTGATACAGCGCTCAATATCCTCCTTCAAGGCGTGGGTGGCCATAGGCTTGTTGATATAAACCTTAAACTTCGAAAAACCCCAAACAAAATCGTCCAACCACTTCCAACCAATTCTAACCATCAAAACGGGAAATTACACGACCAGGCAGTAATTGAATGGTTTCTCGGGCTGTATGGCATGTGGTACCGTCATGTTACATCCCATGCTGTCCACATCCATATTTCGCAATTTAGGCACAAAAAACTGGATTACAATGTTGCAATAGTGTAATTAACTGTTATAGCCTGACCAGTTGCATTTTTGAAGAAGAATGGTTCGATGATGCCTCCACCTCATTTGTTTCTCAACAATAACTCGTGGACAAATGCGACAATTTTGTCGTTTAAGAAGACATCAAGATGAAGATGATTTTNGTTCTAAATGTATGCCTTTGATTAGCGGTTGTTTTGTATTTATATTTGGGTGGTAAGAGCAACGATCGTGGGTTTCTCTGCCATGCTCTTTCCCCGCAGGAGCTCTAGGCGAGCCTGGCACTCTCATTTTATTTTAAATGGTTGTTAATGTCTTTGTTGTTCTTTCTATTTGTCACATGTTTGATTTGAAGATTGTTGTATGTAAATAAAAGTTAGGTGTATTTACTCTGCTTTTGTTTTTATATAATTAAACCATACATCCCCTATACAAAGTTAGTAGCCAGCGCCTTCCGGTCAATTAAAAATGGATACACACAACGTAGGGATTCCTATATGGCGATCACATATTTTTGGTCACAACTACGTTTACTTATTTTTTGTCGAACCTAGGGTTGTTATACTACAGTTTTGCATCAATGATGCTGAATTTCGTTGATACAGCGCTCAATATCCTCCTTCAAGGCGTGGGTGGCCATGGGCTTGTTGACATAAAACTTAGACTTCGAAAAACCCCAAACAAAATCGTCCAACCACTTCCAACCAATTCTAAGCATCAAAACGGGAAATTACACGACCAGGAAATAACTCATGCAGTAATTGAATGGTTTCTCGGGCTGTATGGTATGTGGTACCGTCATGTTACATCCCATGCCGTCCACATCCATATCTCGCAATTTAGGCACATAAAACTGGATTACAATAGTGAGTACCATTAACTGTTATGGCCAGACCAGTTGCATTTTTGAAGAAGAATGGTTCGATGATGCCTCCACCTCATTTGTTTCTCAACAATAACTCGTGGACAAATGCGACAATTTTGTCGATTAAGAAGACATCGAGATGAAGATGATTTTGTTCGAAAAATCAGCATCCACTTGTTCCATAATACATTCAACGAACTTTCTCCGCTGTGCGTGGTCAGTAGGCTTCAGTTCTTGAGTCAACTGAACTTTGTAAGCATGAAGATGCAAATCTTTCTTGATAATACGTTGTAGAGAGCTTTTCGAAATGTATAATTCTTGACCACGGCACCGAATGGATGGTCCTGGACTCTCAACAACACTTTCACGAACCGCTTTTATGTTCTGCGTCGAACTATTTGCTGAAGGACGGCCAAAGTGTTTAAGACCATTAATTAATCCAGTTGATGAAGTTAAATCACTATTCCAATCACATTTTAGCACATTAACGCACTATTTTTTAATTACCCTGAACCATCACGCTTTCTCTTTACCACACAAATGGCGCAAAATTCTAATCTTGCGTGAATTTTGGGACTACTGATATTCATGGTTGGGAAATCCAAAAATTTACTTATCCCAAGTTACATCAGAATGTCTTAAAAAGTGACAGAGTTGTGGTAAAAAAATAAAGACAAACTGTATATCTGACTTTCAAAGCGTTATACATTTTATTCAGCGTTTTCTGATATGATTATTTTATCATTTACTACTTTAATTTTTAAATATTTGAGTTTCACAAATACACCTGTAGTTTACGACCTTCTCGGAAGAGCATATATTTTTATTTTTACAACGAGATAAAGCTAACTAATATAAATTCGCCCCTTACCTCGTGCCTCATGAAATTCTAAAGCAATGTGAGCATCTACGCCTAAGGAGTAATAGTTATTTACAACGTTGAGTGGTAAATTTTCCTTTCCTTCCTCGTTAGCCTCGGCGTTTGTGTTCTTCTCTACCTCTAACGACCACCTATCCAGGGAGACTGTATCACTATGGCTTACGTTCGATAATATTTTCGAGATTGGCTCGTCGGTGTACCCCTGCAATAAAAGAGAAAATTGATATATCTGCAGAATGTTACTTCAAAAGCATGTGTACCGAATGGTGTGAATTTAAGCAAAAATCAACAAACTTTTGCGATTTGGATTTATAAGGCTATTATTATTTATGAGGGCCGTGAAATTAAAAAATGGACGATAGATAAAGAAATGATCTCTAAAATATTTCGATTTTTACAGTAATTCACATCATACAGGGTGAAAGAAAAAATGATCAGAAGACATAGGACTAGAAATTTAACAATCCCAAAACAGCTGAAAAATATGTTTCTTTTTGAGAAATAAAAGATTAGAAAAATTAGAAATAATAGTAAAATTATAGAAACTACAATAAAACCTATTAAAAATATACTCATAAAATATTTTTCCAGATATATTTTGCTGAAATAAACTTCAGTGAGTATGAAAATAACGTAATTTGGATAAATTTGTATATTCTCAAATTAGGTACAAAAGGCAAATATAATATTTTGTTTAAAACAACGAAGAGGAACAAAATAAACTAAAAAAATTAGTGCAGAAAAAAATACATTGACATTGACGAAAATTTTCAGAATCCATGTCTGATGCTTTTGATTGCAGAGCAACATGCTCTTGGTCATTTTGAACATATTCTGAATCTTTATCAGCTCCTAAAAGCAGGAGTGGTTTGTTAATATTTTTTTTAAATAATTTCTAAATGTTATAGTTTATATAAAAATATATGATTTCTATTGCCAAACATGATAACAATCTTGTAGCATCCCTGATTTAAAAAAAGTTAAATAAGTTAAATTTGTCTAGAGAAAAATTGCTTTTTCCCGACACCCAATATTTCCAGAATTTTTTAACCTTGAGATAAGCCTAGGGTACAGTTTGATTTAATTAGGCATCTGTTATTGTTACTGGGACATAATGCAAAGTACTTATTTTAAATAACGGGGATAAAATCGTATTCTCAAAACTAGCATTTGTATATACTGAAAACTGAAACATTAATAAAAAATTCGATGTTAGCTTTATAATTGACATATGAACCTATAGTTCAAAAAGAGGGACAGGGTCAGACTATAGCTGTTTTTAGTTGCGTTGATGGGATCTATCGCATTCTGTAAAGAGTTGAAAAATTACACTTCTGTAAAATACCTGCTTAATTAAGGTTCTATTGATTTTCTTTTACAAAATAGTATCTACATTTTGCAACAAAAAATGAAAATACCATTTTTTTCGTTTCTGTTTATGTACAGGGTATCTGGAAACGAAAGGACCATACTTCAAGGATTCAAAGTTACTTTAGCACATGCTCCTTCTTTAATACGTTAAGAGTCTTCAAAAAAACATTTCGATGTAATGGCACTTTGATAATAATTAATTGATTGAATTAATGAACATGTATACATTTTCTACAGTAATTTAAGCGACGCTTTATAAAACACCTAGATTCTTTGAAAATTTTTGACAGGCAAAAATTTATACAAAAAAAATTGAAGGTGATGAATGTAACAAAGACTATAATTTGCTGTAGTCGTTATTGAAAAACTGAAACATTCTCAATAAAAATTTTGCTCATATGGCTAAAACTACACCACAGGTAAAATTGAATGGAACTTGATATAAAGCTTCTTCTGCTTTCCTTGTCTTTCTCCTCTGAAAGTACATAAACGTTGTAAAGGCAATACACTTTTATTACATAATATCAATAAAATTCTTGAATTTTGTTCACAATATCGATTTAATTTTTATTGTTATAGCTAAATGTAGGTATGTCTAAGTTATAGGTATGTGTAGGTAAGCTAAAATTAAAACAAAATTGAACTGTTTCAGCCAATTTTAAGAAAATGGATTTTTCAAAATATAAGAACAATACTTAATACTTAATATTTGTTTGCACAAATTGGAAAAAAAATGAAATGGAAATGGGTCAATAATAATAATTCATATATTTTCTCTCACTAAACTGATTTAAAACACAGTAGTGTAAACACTTTGTGTTGAATATATATAAAAGTTTTATTCGAATTATTTTTTCTTCATTTTTATCTTAAGTTTACTTTGAATTATAGGCACAGTTTAATTAGCACTTTTTAAACATATTTTCAATGGCGTATAATAAGTTTATCTTATCTAATACAGTAAGAATTTTAGATATTTTAGATATCAAAGAAAAAAATTATTTAGGATTTACATATCCCCATCGAAAATTCATTAAAGGGCTATGTATGCAGTATGCATTCTGCACTAGCATAATCTGTATCTTCTCTTGTTTTTAGACAACTTCTATCATGTCTGATAAGCTACCTAGTCAATTTTGAGCACATGTTTGAATCATAAAACTCTAAATCTAAAAAGTCCCTTAAACCCCTGCATCTCGGATGAATACTAATATATCAAAGTAAATATTCACATAACGTAGTTGGATAAAATATATTCTATATTTATCGTATGAGACAAAATTTAGTTTATTTTCCTTTCACCATTTTTTTAAGGAATCGATACAACAAACAGAACTGCTACTCCCACAGTCTACCATGCCAAATTAAATGCATTATATCAATCGATGGAAGATTTAACTCAGAGACTATAAGGGGATTAACTGGAGAACTAATGCATTCACTGACTGTGTCGAGTGTTCAGAAATTGGTCAGCAGTGTTTTGATTAGAGGTTCTCCAACTTAAGTAGTTTGATGGATTTATAAACTACTTCACATGTTCCCTTTAAAAAGTTTTTCTTTCATGGAAAAGTCTTGTTTATTCTTTATTAACAGCTTTATTTGCAGTGTTTACTTTATTTTTAATAAAATAAAAGTAATAAAAATACGTCGTTACGGCGACATGCACTGTCTAAACCAATACTAGCATAACATAAAAAGTATTAAGTTATCAACATTTTGAATGCAATTTCTAAAAATTATCAAAAGTTTCTTCATAGCAAGGCTAATTTTCGAAATATTCATATGAATTTTGGTACCCTTTCCTGAATTTCATTGATAATAATTCATCACTGGCGGCAACAGGCCATTTTTTAATATCAAATGGAATGTTTTCTTCGTAATTTTCACCGCTGTTCATCTTTAAACGACTTAGAGACTAAACTAAAAATATAAGCGTTAAAAACTTGCTGACAGACACCTGTGATACATATCTACTTTGCTTTTGATGAAAGTTTTGACGTGAGTAGCTCGGTAATGTTACTTTACTGAGCAGTTGTCACTTTACCGAGCTCAACCCTCCTTTCCGATAAGATCAGCAATGACGCACTTTTCGAACTAAGAAGTCATCGGAAAGATATTTTCTAGAGCGGCAGCACAAAAATAATTTTTCCAATTACCGTTACTCCCTCATATTACCTACTGAAAACGTTTTTAATGATATGATATTTTTCAAGGAAACAAAAAGTATTTGACTTTATCTGATATTCGACCACTATTTTTTAGCATGCATTTGGTATCTCAGGAACTACTAAATATAGAGAAAATTTATGACTCGAATAAGTAGGTAGTAGTGAATAAAAAAGCCACAAAAATTCAAACATTTTTTTATTTATTAATTATAATAGCATAATCAAACATACAAAAAGTAAATTATTAAAAAAAGATAGAAAAATCAAATGAATATTAATGAGATATTTGAGTTTGAACCTGAGAAACAAGATGATCAATGTTGGGGTCAATATCAGGCGCAAATTGTTTTCTAAATTAACATCTGTAAGCCGAGTGCGATGCTTATTTTTATTAATTTTCATGATTGAAAAAAGCTGCTCACATTTATACGTGCTTCCGAATGTGCAAATTATTTTTTTCATGCGAAAACTCTCAGCTGTGGATAATTTTCTTCGTAAAATTCGCTTAGTTCCACATCAACAAATTTAGACTTCAAATATGAGTCTTCTTGAAGCTCGATCAATTCCATTTGCAGGTGAAGCGGAGCATCTTCCACATTCCACTTGCAAGCATTTGCAAAAATATTAAAAGTGCTATCCATATTCTTAAAATCGGAAAATCGATCAGTGAATTGCTCTGACAGTAGTTCCAGTTCTTCAGCATAGCGACGTATTCAATGTTTTTGTGAGAGGATATTGATATTATTTTATTTTTTTGATATTTCTAGCCATCATATACGTCGAACAACAGTACGTCGCGATAAGCTCACTTTCTCAAACTCGTTCTTCTTTTCTGCGCACAAAAGTTCTGCAACTTCTACTAGGCATTTTTTAACAAACTGTCCCTCAGAAGATGACTTCGATTTTTTCGCTATTTTGGAACTAATTATAAAAATAGCTTTAACAACACTGTCCACACTTTATTTTTGTGAATGGAACATTTGTTGCTGTTTCCCTAAATCGGTAATGAGTTTTTTTAATTTTATCCTTTCTTAATAATCTGTTTGTCTCTTTCTAACGACTATTTCTGACTCAATCTATGGCATTCTACTGCGTACGCTTAATAATATTGTTTATCGATTTGAATTGATATCGTTATTTGAATTTTTTGAATATCTCGCGGGCCTGCTATCTCGCAAACGAATCAAGATATCGACACAGCGACACCTTAACTACATTTTTTCTATTCTACCGTTAAATATGAGAAACCTCTAAAAGTGTCGAATTTGGTCCTCCTGCACATAGGATGAGCATATACGTAGCTTATACTAATTAATGGAATGAGACTAAATTAAATGTACGTTTTTAATAACTTTATTTTTGAGATTTAACCTACAAAGTGTACGCACGTAAGCATATGTGATATGTCATATCTTTAAATGTCATTGCTACCTTATATCTTTTGGCACTTGCCGACAATCTGTAGGTGCTATGAACACATGGCTGGTGGCTGGTATACTAAAACCGCTGTATCTTTTCCATTGCGTCACAAGCAATATTCGTATGAACTAAGACGAAAAATCCTAGTCAAATTAGTCACTGTTTTCATATAATTGAAATGCCATCTTGACAATTCCCAAATCTGACTTTCTGGCAAATTTTAATACTGGTGTTACTGGATATG